ATTTATATAACGTGAGTGAGTATAATTATATAGACAACTCCGCTTATTTGAAGAACCCGTGTATTAGTACATATCTACCAAACTGTGTCTCTTGCGGTGACTTGTCAATCACGATAGCCATCGAGTTATTCATAGCGCCATCAAGCGGTGATATGTATTACTTGCTGGATGAGTTGATATCTACCGGGTTTGTACAAATGGTTCAAAATAAAGTAGAACGTCTGTGCTATGCGTATCGCTGATTGTAAATCACGTGACATGTGCTGACCATGTGGACTACACGAATCGTACATCGACTGTATCACAATATCTGTGATCATTTCAAATGTTGAACTGGTCTAGCGTAAATGCCCAGCGGTGTTTCGAATGTATGACATGTTTTACCATGACAAGTATTGGTAATATAGACAGCGCACGTTTTGATGTTGCATGAGACAATAAGAAATAATGTGAGTGCAACATGACAAGCGTTTGACTCGACCTTATCACCAAAACAAGGCTCTTGATGTGGCCTCGTATTGGTCGGACTACGTGAAAGCCATAATATCGCAGTATCAGAGTGCAACCGACGAACAAGGACGCTATTTTGGATCGATTTAATTAATGCTCAATAAACGTGTCTCGCAACCATATCAAATTTTACATCTTAATGAAGGATCAGTACAATTGGGTAGTTCCAATCATGGTCTAATGTGTTATTTCGCCGAGTTCTCCTCCGAGAAACAACTGAGCAAATTACATTCAGCGTCTTTAGAACTCAATCATATTCTGAAAGACGAAACGTTGTACAGTTGAGCTAATATTTAAGCCGTACTCCGATCCCGTCTTCTTATTGAGACAAATATGCTGATATTGTAAGTGTAATGGATTACAAAGATCGCTATTATGGAGAGATTTTAAAATATCAGTTCAATGACTTGGTGTTTGAAATGCAATTGGCTTTCCGCTTAATGTTATGATTAATATGTTTATTACGACACTTTCGATCAAGTAACCAATTTCTGGCGAGTTAATGTCTCAAATTGTATAGGTTTTTAGTCATCAGGAGAACATGTGATTTTGCTGTAGTAATTTTTTCGGTGGCTGTTCCCTTGAATTTCGCCCAATTTCGCCGCATATATTCGATAAATACAATATTCACTGTGATTTATTGACGTCGCTAACTGATAATAAATGTTCGATTCCACACCACAAATCATGAAAGCTTATTTAAGACAAATTACATGACGGTAATTTATATTACGATTAAATTGACGTGAGATCAAGATTGGGTCGCCTCCAATCTTACTAATTACTGCTTACTGCCAAATAATGATACATTGACACGATATATTCACGTCAATTATATAATTGATGCATGTCAGCGGAAGGTCTGGTTATTTCTGGATTCTCGTGAAGCCCGGATTAGCGTTACTTGGTTCGGTTTACAGTTTGTTCGTCCCCATTATAAAACATTCTACAGAACAACCCTTATAGAGTCTTCCCGTACAATCGAGTAATTTCATTTCAACATTCATGACTGACTAAACCTTAGATTCAGCGTTGTTCAACAAAGTTCAATTGCTTGTTTAAACATTGATTATATACTTTATTACGGTCCCCTTCGTCAACAATGAACGTCTTGACGAACGTCTACCAAGGGCGCGCGTATCTATGTGACTTTCGCAGTAAGCCTCATGCAGTGCGCGGACAAGCGGGACCCGTCTAAATCTGAGGGAAAAGTGACAACATCTGCTGCGAAATCATATTATTTTGCCAACAGCTCATGAAGACCAACCGTAAAACCATGCGATCTTAGTAAGTTGCCTCGTTGCTACTGTTTTTTTTTCAAATAGTACCAATATCACTTAGCAAAATACACGCGATATCAAGGGTATTGCCGTCACGGTTCTACCGGTAATGAAGGTTGTTCATCTACTAGTAGTCAGGCTAGTGTGCCCTATATTCATGAAAGTTGTTCTCTAGGTGTTGAGTTAAAGAGCCTTCAGTTAGTGCGTGGTTGTGAACCCTCCATTGATTCTAGTCAGGATGACATTGTTGAATTTGTACAGATCAGAAGTTAGCTGGAAAAAGTCCATTATGTAGGCTTATAGTTCCGAATTGCATAATAAGTGTGATTCCACATTAGAGCATGCTAGGAAGTTAGTGAGTACAAGTGAGGAGTTGATCACAGGTCGTAGCAATCGGGCAAGGTTTGTGATGAACAAGGTGCTAAAGTATAGAGAGTTTCAGTCACCTCATGTTGATAGAGTACGAGTGTGCACCCAATTAGTTATACCATTGTGTTACCATGATTAAGTACTAGCAGTTGCTCATGAGTCAGTTATGGCAGGTCATTTGGATGCTACGAAGACTACATGTAGAATAGCAACTCAGTTTTATTTGCCTGGTAAGCAGGATGATGATATTAGATATTGCAGGTCATGTGATATATGTCATAAGACCACTCCTAGGGGTCGTATTAGCAAGGTACCATTAGTTCCATTTCAAATTATAGCTATGGATCTGATTGGTCTGATCAGTCATAGGTACATTTTAAGTGTTGTAGACTATGCTTCACGATACTCTGAGGCTGTAGTGTTAAAGAAAATTACTTCAGAAGTGGTTGCTGATGCTTTAGTCAGTATATATATATATATAGTCGGGTTGGTGTACCCGAAGAAGTTTTAACTGATTTAAGGACACAGTTTGTATCTGACATTATGAAGGAATCGATTAGAATGTTGTCTATTATACAATTAGTAACTACTCCATATCATCCAGCATTTAATGGTTCGGTTGAGCGGTTTAATGCTACTTTGAAAAGCGTGTTAAAACGCAAGTGTCAAGAACGGCCCAAGGATTGGGATAGGTATCTTGACCCAGTATTGTTTGCCTATAGAGAAGCTGCTAAGAAATATTTAGGGTTTTCACTCTTCGATCTTATTTATGGCAGAACAATGAGGGCCCAATAATGATTTTAAGAGAGTTGTGAACAAAGGAGGCCACAGCTTAAGAGGTTGAAACTACATACCAGTATGTCCCTGGTTTGCGAAATCGCCTTGAAGAGACATGTGAATTGGCTCAAGCTGAGTTAGCCAAGGCAAAATTTAGATACAAAAAGTATTATGGTAGGAAAGCCAACCTGATGACAAAGTGTTAGTGTTACTTCCCACTGACCACAATAAGTTGTTGATGCAATGGCAGGGATCATTTGTAAATAAGGAGAAGGTGGGTATGATGGATTACCAATTGGATGTGAAAAACAAGGTGAAAATTTACCATACTAACTTGTTGAAAGCATATTATGAAAGGGACAAAATGAATCACAATAACGTGGTTACAGGTGTGACGAACTGTTTGTGCACTGCAGTTGTTTAATCTAATATTGCCGACAGTACTGGGTAATAGTGATGTATTGGAGACTGTGTCATTCAGTGCAAGGAAACAATTGTTGATTGTCATGTTGGTCATGAGTTGAATGTCGACCAACATAGAGAGATTGGTGGAGTTATGAGAGAATGTTGTTATATTCTCACTGATTGTCCTGGAAATTGGTGAGCATGATATTAAATTAGTAACATCTGAGCCGGTTAGGTCAAAACCATACCTTTTACCATTCGCAATGACAGACGTTAAGAGCATGTTAGTGATGGGTATAATTGAAACATCAAATTCACCTTGTGCCTCACCCATTTTTTTGTAAATAAGACAAGATAAGGTTAGGTTTTGCATCGATTCGCATCAATCGCAAACTCAATCGAATCACAGTGTTCGATGCAGAACCAATGCCATCATCTAAAGACCCATTTTCACGATTAAAAGGGGGTCAGTACTGGCAGATCCTTATGAGTGAGGGGGGGGGGCTAAAGAAAAGACAGAGTAAGTGGAGTAAGTGATAATTGCCTTGTCGCCTCCCTCCCCACTTGAGCACCGAATTTATTATAAATGTATTTCACTCCTACAGCGCCATAACTCACAAAATAGTCACAATCTTGTTTGCCGACGAAGCGGTGTTTCAATAGTTTATAACTCGGCACTCACACTATATATATATATTGTGTCAATGTGTCTATGTGAGATCGACAGAATGCATGCAATATAACTTCCACGTCTTTAGGGAGATATTACTACAATTGTCCTTTGGTAGGAATAACCCCCGGCCCACATCGATTGTGTTTGCATGATGTATATCAACAATTTTGATTTATATGTTATAATCTAGTTATTATCAATAATTTATTGTCAATATAATATTTTAGGGTACGTCATGACAGACAGCCAATGACGGACACTCAGTTAAGGAATTCTTTTTAGAATTGACGCCAGATAAAATCATATAAATATAGGGGTCCCCGATATGAACATCTACTGAGATGGACGACCGATGGGCCGAGTAGGATAGACCGATTACCCGTGACATCGACAGCCAGTGTTGAAAACGTCTTCAAAGCCGAATTCATGTGAGTAGGTCACTTTCACCGGGAAAACATAGATACGGATAGATTGCTACTGGTTAGATCCGGCCATCACATATTTCTGGGATGATCCTGTGTAATGATAGCATACATTATTAGTTCTCACAAGTGGTAGAATAGAATAGAATAGAATAGAATAGAATAGAATAGAATAGAATAGAATAGAATAGAATAGAATAGAATAGAATAGAATAGAATAGAATAGAATAGAATCATATTCTTCATCACGTGGCGGCGAACTTTAAATCAACTACCGGATTGTTTTGTACAACCTGATTCGGGTCACATAAAACTCACCACCCTATGTTTTCATATAGTAGTGATTTACACAACACTATAGTGCGGTATTTGTACTATGGGAATTGAATATTAACACGTGCAGTCCACATGATTGGAAATATGGCGTGGTAACATAAATTATGTCAAATAAATCATATTTTACCACGTGGCATATTTCAGTTTTACTAGCCATGGTTAACCACAGGTGCGAGCATTTCAGTTATTCTAGTACAGTTTACGTTCAGTGACAATCGTGTTGCTAACATGAAATTATCAACAGAAAGCGAGTACTCTACGAAGTTCAATGAAGCCATGGATGCTACCAATGTCGACAGAAATAACTTTCCATACGTAAATACGGACGAGGAAGCATACTGCGCCAAGTTCCCAGTTGTTTCCGTTGAACCGAACAATGAAACGGAGGACACCTACGACACGCCAGTGGATACTGGGAAGAAGAAACAGGATGAAATCGACCCCTGGAGTTTGGTGCCACATATAGAATCGAACCAACCAAAATGGTCTGGTGAGTTGAATGACCTGGAGGATTTAACCTTCAGTCTGTGGTAAATAAGGCCATTTACCAACTGTAACATGTAGTTTTTATTTTTTTAAATTCGGGATTAAATTCATAACTTGACGTGAAAGCCACATTTGACAAGTGAACAAATTTATCTCCGTAATTTAACGAAGGCAAGGTCGTCGACCTCTGTAGGCATGGCCCCAGTTTTTATTGGCTTAACAATTTGAGCGCCAGAATATTTCCCGCTATTTTTCTATAATGTTTTTTTTTTTCAATGCTTTTTTAATTCAAGATCTCGATCAATGTTGCAGAAAAATACGATAAAATTATACAGTTTATTTGACTTTGGCCGTCAAGCGGTTAAAATGGCGTGATATGCGCGATCGCGTTCGTGTAATAGTAGTGCGTCAAATAATTCAATTTGTATAGATGAGTATTAAAAACATACGCCCGCCATATATTTATGACCAATCGGCGCTTGTATTAGAAGGAGGCCCAGACCGACTGCTTCCACCACTTCCATTGATTGATTGGCCGCGTGAGATGGGCCTATTGCACACTGGTTGTTACATTCGTGGGTTACTGAATACTCACAATATAGGCATATTCGAGTAACTACGGCTCTACTGTGGTAATTTACCAGTAGGTACCTAATGAGACCGGGGTATTACGGCCATGAATATTACAGGACTAGTTTTCGAGTTTATTCAAAATTTCAAACTAGATAGAATAATGGATTACAATAAAAGCTGTCATTGTGTATTTTGATGTTAAATTATTATGTGCGATTGTTCTGCTGAATGATAAATTCTGTAATCTTTAGCAGAAATCAAAGTGTTAAGTATATATATATATATATATATATATATATATATATATATATATATATATATATATATATAAATATATATATATATATATATATTTATTTTGACAGAACATGGCTTCATTATACTTGTTTTTGTTTATTTACAATAAATTCAAATTATGCAAAATGTTTCATCCGTATCGTGTAACACATGACATAGCATCAACTTTGAGGAGCATTATTCCACGAAAACATATTTGATAAATTTATTTGAGTTTGTCTTACTTTTCACAGTCTTTTGTTGTGTTCTTTATACATTTGATAACAACATTCTTTCTCCATACGTAGAGTTAACAACAAGTGGGAAGGTGAAACGTGTTCTGATTGGATGGATATTGAAGCCAATCCTGATATTCTCGTTTCTCTACTTCTTTATCGTCGCCCTGGCCTTGATGGGTGACGCCTTCACGCTGATTGGTGGATCGGCAGCAGGTCGGCTCTCCAGACAGTACATTATTGGACACCCAATCACGGGATTAATGATTGGCATGTTGGTTACGGTGCTACTCCAGAGTTCAAGCGCTACAACGTCAATTATTGTTTCCATGGTAGCAGCCGATTGTGAGTATAAATACCTTTATTATGCATCTGTCACCGTCACGCCATAAGTATTGCACTGAGTATTTTCATCCTACCATATTGGGAAATGCGAATCCCAAATATTGAACGATTACGCACGTAAGCGTCCTCTAATAATACAAACAAACATGGCTGCTACCAGAGTTTGACCGAACTCCACACAAAGAAGTTCACTCAAACTATTCTAAACGTTTTGTATTTCGGCATTCCCACAATGTATCCGTTGGAGGAAAAGATATATAAATAATGTTATTAGGAGGATACTTTCGATATGTTCGTAATAACCTTATTGTATACACATTATTAATGTAATTGATTATGATGGACATTTCAATGGTAGTTAATATATGATATTCTCCTTAATTGTAACACTACAACAAAGAACGTGCCATTGGCACACACGCATATAGAAAACTCACAATGCGGCCCCTTTTTCGGCAGTGATTCAAGTCCAGGAAGCTATTCCCATGGTGATGGGAGCCAACATTGGCACATCGGTTACCAACACAATCGTTGCCGGGGGACAGGCAGGAGATCGAGACACATTCAGGTTATCCTTCGCAGGGGCTACCGTCCACGACTGTTTTAATTGGCTGGCGGTTCTCGTATTGCTCCCTCTTGAAATGGCAACTGGCTACCTCTACCACCTGACATCGGCAATCATTGATAATTCTAATTTAGATTCGTTCGGATCTGACGACAGAATTAAAATAACAGACCCAATCGTGGACAATCATACAGGTAGGTAGAAATGTAATTCTAATATTTATTTATAAATATGGTTTCAATATTATAAAGAAATAATATCTAATATTTAAATTTATTGCCATTGTTTATTAGCTTGATATGGGTGTTTTGGAGAAGATTGCTTTAGGAGAACTGGAACCGGGTGAAGAAAGTTTAGTAGATAGATGGTGTGAATATGAAAATGTGTGTTACAATACAACCGTATTTTATTCGGTTAATGGTACCAATTACACAGGGGTTGAAGAAGTATATAACTACACGATATACATTGAAAGATGTGAGTGAATCAAATTTATTTTTCTCAACGTTTCAATTCCTTATCACTGTTCGGCGGTGCGAATGTCGGCCGACTGGAACTCTCGCCATGGTAGTAACGTTAGCTGGTGCATGATACAAACACAAATTTTATTAATTTCAGGTGACTTCCTGTTTGCCCACTGCGACCTGGCTGATGAGATCATTGGTCTTATTCTGTTGGTGGTGTCGCTGGCGCTTCTCATGGGATGTCTGATCGGCATCGTGAAAGTGCTTGGATCAATGCTGCGCGGCAGCGCCGCCAACGCTACCAAGAAGTTTTTGAATGCCAATTTCCCAGGATACCTTTCGTGGTTGACCGGATACGTCGCCATGTTGCTGGGCGCGTTTTTCACAATGTTACTGCAGAGCAGTTCTGTTTTCACGTCCATGTTGACTCCACTTGTGGGCATGCGTGTTATAACACTGGCCAGAATGTATCCCTTAACTCTGGGAGCGAATATCGGGACAACATTCACCAGCTTACTCGCGGCATTTGCAAGCTCCGATTCACAAGATTTCGAAGAAGGTGTCCAGATATCACTATGCCACTTATTCTTCAATTTAACTGCAATAGCAATCTTCTATCCTATTCCTTTTATGCGCCGGCCTCCCATCGGAGGTGCCAAGTTTCTCGGTAATACAACGGCTGTGTACAGGTGGTTTTCAATCGCGTATCTATTAGTAGTCTTCTTCATTTTCCCATTTACAGTCTTGCTAATTTCTATAGCT